GAAAAAATTGGAACGATACAGAGAAGATTAGCATGGGCCCTGCGCAACGATGACACGCATAAATCGAAAAATGGTCCCAAAAAAAAAGAAAAAAAAAGAAAGAGAGAGGCGCAGACAGCAACGAGGGAAAGAGGGCCTCGCTGCACTACTCACCACATGCACAAAAGACAAAAACGGTGCATCTTTCCATGTTCTAGCGGAAGATTCATTCTTATTACATTCGGTAATTAACTAGTGCAGCGAGGACCAAAGGCGAAATCTTAGCCAACGGTGCCAGCATACCGATAACTAGACTGAATAAAAAACATGGCCATAAACTGAACACTGAACAGTAATAAACCGGTTGACAAAGTTATTGAAAATTAAAAAATTTTCATAGAGAAAAATCGTCGATACCATTTTGCACGGTCTTACCTCTACAATCCACGCTCAGCGACAAAAGCGACGCCCGAATAACTTATGATCAGTTTAATATCTGATCCTCAATAAAATTAAAAAAATAAAAATAAAAACAGAAAAAAAAAGACCAAAAGAAGTTCACAGTACCAACGAGCCTAGCCCAGTTAGCACACCCATTAACTGTTTTTTTTTTTGTTTTTTTTTTCCATTAACTGTTTTCGAATTACAGACCCAAGTTCGAATCCTGATGGACGTTGAATTATAATATAAGGAAAGAGAAAAGAGTTCACAGTTCTAGTCCTCGAGATATGACAAAAGACGACAAAATAGATAAGGCGGAGAAAAAAAGCCACCAACCATCTGGCATTCATTACCGCATCTTGCACTCCTGTTAACAGGAGTCGAACTTCGGCAATAATCAGATTTCCTCACCCGAAGAAGATCACACGAGCGAGTCGATAATCGAGAAACGAAAAAAAGACCAAGACGAGAAAATACCGATGAGGACGAACAAGATGGTGATTATGAATCTTCTATGATGATAACGAGGAGGAGGAGGAAGAAGAGGAAGAGGAGGATGAGGATGAAGAAAGAGCACAACACAACGAGGAGGAGGAGGAAGAAGAGGAAGAGGAGGAGGAGGAGGATGATGAAGAAAGAGCACAACAGTCTCGAGAAAACACCGATGAGGACGAACAAGATGGTGATTATGATCCTTCTACGATGATAATGAGGAGGAGGCGGAAGAAGAGGAAGAGGAGGAGGAGGAGGATGAAGAAAGAGCACAACAGTCGTCGAGAAAATACCGATGAGGACGAACAAGATGGTGACTATGAATCTTCTATGATGATAATGAGGAGGAGGAAGAAGAGGAAGAGGAGGATGATGAGGATGAAGAAAGAGCACAACAGTCGAGAAAATACCGAAGAGGACGAACAAGATCATGGTGATTATGAATCTTCTATGATGATAATGAGGAGGAGGAGGATGAAAGAGCAGAACAGTCGTCGTCGTCGTCGTCGGCGGCGGCGGCGGCGGTGAAGTAGTAGTAGCAGCAGCAGCAACAACGACAGCATTAGAAAGAAGAAGAAGAAGACGAATGGTGAATCAACAGTGGCCATAGACTGCTTCTCGTACACGCATCCATAGATACGCATTACCTCTCACTTGAGCGGCTATATACATCAAAAGTAATTAACTCAGCACCTGCAGAGAGATTTCTGCTAATCAACCGCGCACCATCCCCGACGTGTCTCCTCGCTGAGCACCAGGGGAACTTATCAATGGGCAAACCATACTCCCACGTCCAGAAGAAGAAGAAAAAGAAGAAGAAGAAGAAGAAGAAAAAAATAAGAATAAGAACACAGAGGCAAGCAGTATGTCTCACTCACCCAGTGAAATTGAGTTCGGCCCTCACAAATGCCAACAAGATTTCATGGCCGCGAAAACCGAACCCCGGGCTAGCAAATAAACGGAACATGCGCATTTGGCGACGCGCACTCCAGACAAGGGTTTTGAGGGAACCGCTGACTCTTGAGAAGCTCTCGAACATTCATGACGAGATCCCGATTGGAAAGGCCGTTGGGGTAGGCAGCAAGGACGTTGGAAATGGCATTTGTAAGCGCGCCAAAAGCTTTCGACTTGTCGCCGCTAGGACACGCGTCGGCCGATGTCTCGTGCGACTGGCATCCAGTGACGAGGACCGGGACCTCGATGGGGACCTGTGGCTTCGCCGCATCGTCATCATCATCATCGTCGTCGTCGTCGTCATGACCTTCCACCGCGTCAGCAGCAGCGTCAAAATAGCCGTGCGCATAATAACTCTCCTCGTCGGCGGGACCGCCATAGCCAGAAGCACACGAAGAAGGAGGAGGAGGCGCACTCGTGTTGCTGTCACCGGAGAACGCATCTTGAACGAATCCAAGAGCAGAGCCAAAGAGTCCTCTTCGCTTCGTCTTCTTGCCATCGCCGCCAGAGAACAGCTTGCCAAATTTCTCGCTCAGTTTAGAGTCAATCCTAGTGAAGATTCGCCGAATCTTCCGAGAAGTTTTGGATGCATCTTTGCCAAAGAGCTCGGCGAGCGACGCGTGGATGTTCCCGCCTCTATTTACATCGTGACCGGTCTTTTGTCGAAGGACATCTTCCAGCACATGCAGCGGCAGCGACCGGTTCTCCACCACGAGGTCGTCCGCCTCGAGGTCAAAATTCCTCCCTTGCCCAACTGCCGCCGAAATCAGCATGGAGATCAGTCCCGGGCGCTTGTCCTCCTTCGGCCCCTCTATCTCCACGTTTTCCCCATCAAGCATAGTCCCACTGTGACAGCAATCGGAAATCATTGTGAAGCGCGCGCCCTGCGGCACTTGATTGATGATTGTTTTCAAATCGTGATCGACGATCAGATTGAAATCGCAAGGCACTATGCATTCGTCCTTGCCGTCCTTCTCAATCCATTTCGGATCCTCCGAAGGAACCTGGACACCGTGTCCGGAAAAGTGGAAGAACAAGACATCGCCGGGCACTGCACTCTTTACCATCCGCAAGAGCGCGGCCTTGATATTCTTCCCCGTAGGAAGAGGATTACGCGAATCGATCAAGATGGTGATGTCATCAGCAGAGAAGCCATACCTCTCTGTCAAAATCTGATAGATGATGGACACGTCATTGATGCAGCCATTCAACGCCGCATTGGTATTCGCATAATTGCAACCCACGAGCACGGCGCGCTTCACCATGATTGCCGCCGCCGCTGCGATTGATCTCAGCCGTCGATTTGATTGGATTCGATCCGATTAGCGATTTGATTCGATTTGATTTGATTTGATTTTCGATTCGATTCAATTCGATTTATCAGCGATTCGATTAGTGGGAATCGATGTAAGAAGGTGAAAAACGAGTGAAAGAATTGCGGAAAAAAAGCGCGCGTTAGGCGACGACTACTACCGCATCGGTGTGCAATCAAGGGGGGGCACGTGTCTGCTGACGTGGCATTGCTTAACTAGTTCTACAGCCACTTGACGTCAATTGAATTACACGACGGCGAAGTCCGATCATCAGAGAGAACGCGGAGACGACTGACGATCAGAGAAAAAGCGGGGACCACCAATTATGGACAAAGCCGGTGCGACTAGTCATCGGAGAAAAGGCGGGAACGACCAATTATTATCAGAGAAAAAGCGGGAACTCCATTAGGGTACTGCATGCGCTCTAAAGAAGTCGTACAGTCGCTGGCGTCCCCCGCCGCGCAGCAAGCACTGGGGGGGGGGAATAGCTCAGCGACCTGCGGACAAAACGGCGGGAAACCACGCTGGAACGAAGTCGTTAACTAATTGACTAATTGAATTAACCCACAAGGCGCCGAGGTGCAAAGAGAATAACCCAACTACTAACAGGAGGCCAAAACAAGTAGCGCGCCTAACATAGCGGCTGCGTAGAAGGCTGGAAGCTTGTGCGACATACAGAGAAGATTAGCACGCACGCCCCCTAGGCGAGAATGACACGGATAAACCGAAAAAACTACCTAGCACTAGAAGCACCGTAGCACCTAGCTACGCTGCTGTCCGAAAGTACCGATAAATAAATAATGTCTGAACATATCAAGCCAAGTCACTGGCGGGGGAGGTAGGGGGTCGAGCACAGAATCGTTGCAAACGCTACCCAGGGACCTTGTCCCACTAGCTCCGTTGAGCTAGGTCAACGTGGGGTTTTCGAGCCTGTGTGACTGTACGCGACAAGGGAGATGCTAGTTGTCCAATTCATCTAACTGTCCGTTTCTAATAAAATGGGCAATAGTGAACATCTTCGCTTTTTCTTACATAAAAAAATAGAAATAAATCCTTTCTCTCGAATACTACTACCCCTACCCTCGCCACTTTCCGTTGAACTAGCTGTCTCCTTTTTTCGAGACAGCTAGTTCAACGACCCTCTTGTTCCCCCAACAGGCGTTTTTAAAGAGAAACTGTACGAGCCTCCTTCCGTTTGCCATTTTTGGATGGGATTCGGGCACCTCTTCATTTTCTGCTGTGGAAGTGCCCGTATGCCACTCCAATTGTGAAAAACGAAAAACGAGAACAATTGTATTCGTGCCATTTATAAATGCATTTCTCATTTGAAATTGAATTAAAATGATTTTTTTTAGCTGTCACACTGTTGAGCTGCCTCAACTAAACGGTGCATATGGGACATGGTCCCAGAACCTGGGCAAAGTCAGGGGGTAGGGGTACTGACCCCTGTTCTATCTTAAATGTATCTGACCGCATTTACTACCAACCGGGATGAATATGACCGCAATTACGCCCCTAAGTAACCCAGCGCATAAATCGAGAAATGGTCCAAATTAAAAAAAAAAAAAAAAAAAAAAAAAAAAAAAAAAAAAACGTTCGAACGGGGATACGACCGCATCCGAACCGAGATAGGATCCAGCGGCCTAACTCAGTTGGTAAGGGTCGCAAGTGGCATTCAGGAGGTCGTGGGTTCAATCCCCATTTTCCTCATGTACCTTCCAATGCATGCTTGGCGCCCGCCACCTAGAGATAGACCACGGGATCCCCCTATCTGCATTGAGCAGAGTCTGCCGATGTTCGTAGGGGAGGGGGCCTGAGGGGAGGCCCAGGGATTGGTCCTGCTGGCATGGTCCCTGATGCTACAGGCTGTCCCCTGGTCCATATCGCCCACCTGCAGGCCGGGAGCAGCTCCCGCATATTCTCTCGTGAACGCGGTTCTGGCTTCTGCGGGGTTCCCTGTAGTAGTGGTAGGGAGGTAGTGTGAGGTGAAATTGAGAGAAGAATATAGCTTTACAAAAGAAAAAAAAAAAAAAAAAGAAGAGATACATCCGGGGTTCGAACCGAGATACAACAGGATTTGGTCATTGAAGTATGGGCCTAGTTGCACTACTCACCATCCATCACAATTCACAGCGGATGCGTGGATAGTGAAAAAAAAAAGAGAATCTTGCCGAACTGGAGGCCTACAGAAAAGTTGATTTTTTTTGTCTACCTGATGTCTACTCGTGAAGCCGTGCACTCTCCAGAAAGTTGTTTTGCGGAGAGGTCCGAGGACCACCCTCCACAAACCGCCGTGCACAGGCGGGGAACCCGAAAACACTCTCCACAACTTGTGTCGACGGTGTGGCGAGCCGTCTGACACATTTTGCATTCGCTTTGGCAAGCAAGTGCAACCAGGCGCCTACTCGCCAAACTTGGCGTATGGCGAGTAGTGCAACTAGGCCCTACAGGGCCTCGCTCCACTACTCTCGAAATGTGCAACCGAGAGGGAATCTTCCGCTAGAACATGGAAAGATACACCGCCATGATTTTTGTCATTTGTGCAAGTTGATCAAGAGTAGTGGAGCAAGGCTCATAGTCCAGGAAAATGCGTCGGCAAAAGATCAGGGCCTGCCAGTATTTGCACCAGTCGCCATCCGCCAGGATTTGGAATGCATCTTGACAATGCACCCATCCAAACGCATTGAAAATGTTGGCGGATGGGGACAACGAGAAGTGCCCTCAGTTATCAATATATGACTCGTCACGAATACATGTCCGCAGAAAAACACGTTGGGCTTGGGAGACGGAAAAATGCAACTTCCGGACAGAGAACCGGGATTCAGCGGGCCTAGCTCAGGGCACGCTCACACTGCGTACCCAATCTCGTAATTTCTTAAACCACCAGTACCTGGCCCAGCTATCGGCCGCGGCGCTTCCCGTATACGCGCCGCGCCATTTGGGCTTCGGCCTGCCGGACTGCATTGGCTGGAGGCCGCAGGCAAAACGAAAAACAAAATTGCGACGGCTGTTCAGCAGGACTTGGCGCGCAGCGTGCTGGGAGGCTCGGATTCAATAGCTGAGCGAGGTAGTGGTGGTTTAAAAAAAGGGGATGCCGGATTTGGGAAAATAGTGGCTGGCTCCCATCTCCTCCTCGTTAGGTGTGGCCTGAAGTCTTTAGCCCATCGATCCGAGACATTTTAATGGATGAGGAGGGTTGGGGTGTGCCCTGTGTCATGCTCAACCGTGATTTGTTCTCTTGAATCTTGAGTTTGGTAGCTGGGGTGGAGAAAACGAGGACGAAGGGTTCCTTCACTTTTGATTTATTTTACATCTGCAGGTGCTCTCTCTCTGCCACTGGGAAGTCAAACATCCTTGTCGGGGGGGGGGGGGGAATTCCTCCTGTTGGTCATCCACCGTTGCATCTGCAGGTGTTCCTTGTCTTCTCCCTCCACCACTGGGGAGTCAAGCATCCCTGTTAGGGGTCAGAGGAAATTACTAGAAGCTCCCCCTTAAAATGGGGAAGGTCTCAGATCAACAGACCAGCCTGTCGCTCACTAGCCATGGCTGCACCCATGAGCACGCTCACCCGCACCGACAAGACAAAAGGAGAAGTTTCCGACTATTTTATCCCTCAGGTTTTCTCCCACGACGGTTAATGTGTGATGGGTAAAGATGAGACTTTGACACACCCGTCTATAATCCTGAGAACCCTCCCCCTCCCCAGTTATGATTTGCAATCTAATTCAATTTCAAATACTGCAGAATCCGGGCAAGGTGGGTTTCCTCCAAGAACCAAAGATGGCTCGCCATGTGGTGGACCTGACGGATGGGGGAAAGGTGAGACTGACTTTAACACAATCCACCTGCGTCAACAGCTAGGAGTGATGATAAGAGCATACACTCCTGCCTATCTTACAGAGGGCTCCAGTCTATTGGGGAGGAGCTTCACCTGCTGGAAAGTGGGTCAAGCGTTGTGACAAACTGTTTTCTGCAACCGCGCAGATTCCTGCGCAAGGCTATTTCGGGGGATGAAATTGGTTAAGTCGGGATGGCCTGGTGGCTTGCATGGATGCCCCTGCTTTTTCTTGTCTCTTTTGAGTAAAGGATGGTCTCGTCCCACGATGGTTGATAGTTGGTCGCCCCTCAGCGAGCGCGACAAATAACGGTTGCCATAGCTTCTTTCTTGTTCTGCTGTGGGAAACGGGAATTTTGGTGTGATCATCGCGGGGGAAAATCTTTTTGAATTTTCAACCGCTGTCAAGCCCCCGTGGGCTCTCGAAAATTGTCTCGTTCAAAATTTCTTCTTGCAAAAAGGATTTAGAATAGGAATTTAGGCGCATCTCAATTTTCGTTGCACGACTCTTCTTGATTGCGCATGCCCTGCCGCGTCAAGATCTGTGCTCTGACTTCGCCGCACCTTAATCTTGCGAGGAACTGTAATCTTTGCTTTCAGTGGGCGTGATTGCAACTGTAAATTATGTAATCATCGTTCTTGATATCTTTTGTGGCACCCTTGTGCGCGCATACTTCTCTCCCGTTCTATTGGCCTGATTGCTTGCATGACCGGATCGATGTGTGGAGCGTGGCTACGTCCCCCACGCTGCGGCCTGGCCATGGAAACGTAGGCACTTCCTTTTTCCTCCTTTCTTCCCCTTCAGACCCAATCCCGAGTATCTTGCACGTGCATGCGTGCTATAAATTTTGCAAGCACGATTAACTCGCTCTCTAAGAATATTGGAGCTAGCGTGGTCAAGAGGATCGACTAAAGAGCAAGAGTTGGCAGGTGAGTAGAGAGTTGGGCGATCCGACGAGCTGATGTTGGGCATGCGGGGTTGACGTGGGGCCACAACGGACTGTGGCGCACGGGCGAACCTGGCTTGCATGCTCGGATCAAGCGGGGTGACAACTCTGTGTGGGTGCGAGGCGACGGAATGCCCGCATCCGGGTGATGAGATGAGAGAGAGAGGAGAGAGAGAGAGAGAAACGGGAGGTGTGTGAAAAGTTTCTTCTTCTATTCTTCTAAGCCATTTTGGCTTCTTCGTCTATTCTTCTAAGCAATTTTGGTTTTCGGCGCAAGTCGCCCTTTCTCCTTTTCGGATCGGCATCTCGGATTTTCTTTTGCTTTCTTTTCGGAGATTGATGTATGGTTGTCTTCCCCCACTCTCTGTCTTTTTGAATCGGCAAATCCGCTTGATTGGATGTCAGCAATTGGGGCTTGTGTGATCTTCGGGGTGATTGGCCAAAGGATTGTTGCATGACCCTCTATTCTTCTTGGTTGTATGTAAGCTAGTTGCATGGATGATAGATAGGCACGGTTCTGTTTATGCATGAGTTGGGTAGGCATGATAGATGACCATCTCCATAGCAAGACGACCCGTCGTGTGTCTCGCTGTTTTTCACCTACCCAATCGAGGACAGGCCCCCCCCACACACACGTAGGCCCGGTCAAGACAATCGCTGCCTACGCGCGAGTCTGCGAAACCCGAACTCGACTAACCTCCCGAATGGCTGATGTTCCCCCCAGACTTGCAACATGAATTTCGGTGTTCCCTTTCGTGTCATTGATCGCGAGTGTTTGAGGGATTAGGAATTCCGGGAGTATTGGGAGCACGTGTGTCTGTCTGCACGACCGAGGGGAAACTTCCTGAATTTTCATACCCGGTGGGAAATGAATGTATCTGTGGGTGGGATATCGACCGAGCCCAAGAGCGC